TGACAGCATAAGCCAGAGGAGATATCTGAAGACAGTCCACTGTGGCTTTTGGCCCCCAGGTGTTGTGGGGTTTTGTTTGTTTGTTTGTTTGTTTGTTTGTTTTTGATTAGCACACTGGTTAGGTTTTTGCTGTTGTCAACTTGGCACAGGCTGGAGTCAACTGGAAAGATCGGACCTCAATTAAGAAAATGCCTCTATCAGATTGGCCTGTGGGCATCTTCTTAATTAATGATGGAGGTGAGGGGGGGGGGGGGGGCCCAGTCCACTGTGGGCAGGACTACCCTGAGGCAGGTGATTCTGGGTTATATAAGAAAGCAGGAAGAGCGGCCTCTGTCTGTTTCGACCCTGTGGTGATGGTCCTTGGGGGCGGACTGACCATAAAGCGTCAGTGGAAATAAGCCCTTTCCTGCCCAAGGTGTTTATCACAGCGCTAGAAAACAAACTAGGATAATGAGCAACAGTTTAAGCATTACAATCACTTGAAGAAAGCCAACACCTTTGATCTTCCCCGAGCCAGGCCCTTCCTGGGAGTCTCCAGGCTTTTTACTGAGACCTGAAAAAAGTTCTCTTAGACTGCCTCCACCTGGTGCACCCTTAGCTCTTTTCTCTTTCCTATGCTGCTCCTCCGTCTCCCTTTCCTAAAGGGGCTGTCTGCAAACACCTTCTTAGAAAATAATCACTGGTTAATAAAAACATTTTCTGTTTTTAATATACAGTGTTTAAGTTTTTGCACCAGAACTAACTCTTGCTCACCTCTGAAGTACTAAGGCGGGCTATTTTTATTCCCTGCTGCTCTTGGCTGATTTTCCTCTGTGCGTCAGAGGCTTTCAAAAGGTTTCCAACCCCAGATCCCAAATACTCAAAAATGATTACATACAAAATAAGATGTTCTCCTCAAGCAGAGGCAAGTCTTGGGTCATAAAATAAGATGTTCCCTTCAACCAGAAGAGAGCCCAGTGTCACTATCTGGTGACGAAGACTGGAAATCTGGGGCGGGACCTCTATGGCCTCGAATCAGTGCCAGAGTTTACTCTGGCCTCTTATTTAGCAAATTGGCCCCAGTGTAGACGTAGCAGTTATTAAAATATCAGAGTGCGGTAGGGGTGTAGCTCAGTGGGCAGAATGCCTTCATAGCATGCTTGAAGCCTAAAGTCCAGTTCTCAACACTGCATAAAACTGTCGCATGGTAACAAAGGCTTGTAATCCTAGCACTTGGGAGGTGGAGATAGGCAGCTCAAAACTCATCCTTGACTACATAACTACATAGCAAGTTCAAGGCCAGCCTGGCCTACATGAGATCCAATCTGCAAAAATAAAATGTTTTGTTTTGTGTGTGTGTCGATAGATGGCAGATAGATAGATAGATAGATAGATAGATAGATAGATAGATAGATAGACAGACAGACAGACGGATGGATAGATAGATAACATTAGATAGATGGATAACTCCTCAAAGCCAAGAGTCAGAGGATCCCAGCTCAGCGATAGACACAACCTCCCCAGCACCATGACCCAATCCACTTCACCTCCCTCTCCAAAAAAACAAAAACAAACAAACAAAAAAACGTGTTGAACTGATTGTGTGCACTGCATGATGCTTATAATTGTGGCATGTTATTTATGCCTAAGGACAAGAACAAATATCTAGAAATGTGGCTTCTCAGGGAGATAGAATCCAGTACTAATTTCTTAGAGAGACAGCAATACAAAAGCTTTAGGGACAGGCTGCCTGGGCTAGGGGTCCAGGTCTGCCTCATGCTAAACTATGACCTCAGGTGCCTCTAATAGCCTTCTCTATATAAAGGAAGATTTTTACATCTGTAGAATGCTTTGGATTGTGTCCAAAGCCAAGTAGACATCAGCAAATGTTGATTAAATAAACAATATATCTTATTTTGTCATTATAATGCTCATTCAATAAATCTAAAATTTGATAACATTTCCCAACAGAAAAGAAAACTGTGATGCTATGGAACAGTTACATAAAATAGGCTGTTGTTAAATAACCCACCATCAAACCATCTGGGATCCAGATTTGACAGTGCAATGTGAGCTCAGGGAAAGCGCACATCATAAGGCATTCCCAGTGAACCACACGATGCAATCTGTATGATTCCCTTATTGATCAAAAATGTCGCAGGCGTACTGGAAGCTGAGGTTATGCTTCTCATCTGAACCCTGAAATATCTTTTAACCACACCCTAGCAAATATATTTTATTTGTGCTATGGGGAGTTAAAAGACTATAAACATAAAACCTGGCCTCCATAGGACAGCTTTCCCCCTACACAGTGACTCAGTCTAACTACAGGTTTAAAGACCCATATGCTGGGTCTACTTATCTTTAGCACATGGCTGGAGGGGACAGGAAATTGCTAAACCCAGGAACTTGCTGGATCAGAAAGGTCTTTGGGTATTAAAAGCATATCATTACCTGGTGTGGATTGGTACTACAGTACTGCTAACAGGAAGATTATTAAGATCATTTTGTTGTTGTTACGTATCCAGAGGAGGAAATAGTAGGAGAGACTCTCTTCCCCATTCCTACCTCTAGATAGCTAACTTCACAAAGCGCTTCCACCACAAATCTAAATTAGCTTACCAACGGACCCTCAAATCATCTTCCTCAAGCCACAGAGGTAAGATGTACCAAGCGCCAGCTATCTGGCTAAGCCTTTTAAAAGTGTGCATTTCCTGCTGACAATGTAGCTCAGTTGGTAGAGTGCTCACCTAGCATGCACCACACGAAACCAAGTATGGTGGTGCATGCCTGTGGTCCCAGCACTCAGGGAGGCAGGAGGTTCAGAAGCACAAGTCACCTTCTGCAACCTAGCAAGCTCAAGAGAGGCCAGCCTGAGCTTCATAAAAAGAAAAGCCAATTTCTTGAGCTAGGAATGAGAATGCAGGCCTATAACCCCAGCATTTGGGAGGTAGGGGCAAAGGCAGAAAGAACAGAATCCATAGACATCTTCACCTACACAGTGAGTTTCAGCATCATCAAAGAAACCCTATTGCAAAGAGAAAGGAAGAAAGGAAGAAAGAAAAAAAGAAAAAGAAATTGAGAGCATTTCTTTAAAGTTATGAAAAAAAGAATCCAACTTTAGTCAGTGAGAAAACTGAAGCTTACAATGGAATCTTTATTATTAGTGTTATTAGGCCCCATAAGGAAGCTGAGAAGCACTTTGGGAATGGAGCGGGAAAATGATAGCACAAAGACAGAACTGTATTGAGTACAACCAAACATATATATTTTAAGTGGTTAGGATGGCAAAGTCACGTGTTTGTTTTGATAAAATAAAAATAAAGCTTAAAACTTAAAAAAAAAAAAAACAAAAAAACAAAAAAACTCCAAACCTTTAGAAGTGGGCTGAAATGATGGCTCAGCATTAAGAGTTAAGGTCCTATGAACTCCACAGGATCTGAGTTCAGTTCATAGAACCCAGTTTAGCCAACAGCTGCTTCTGGCCTTCTTAGGTACCAGGACTCATATGCACATGCCCACGCACAAACAAACCTACTCACATAGTTAAAAATAAAATAAATCTTTAAAATATGCTAAAGGTTGGTGAATTTTGCTACTGCAATGTTTTTATTATTTAGGGCTACATAGGACCATTTATAATACACACTAAGACCATACACAGGACCACACATAAATACATACCAAGTAAGGTTCTGATGAGCAGGATTACCCCTCACTAGATACTACTCATCAGGTCATCAGTAAATACAACGAAATGAGCCTGTAGAGAACTGACCACCAGCGTGTGCCAACAACGTGATGCCAGAAACAAACCGGCCAGGACGCCATCTCCTCAAAACCTTCACCGCTCATGCTCTTTATTTGGAAAGCTAATTGTACTGGCTCATAAAAACTCAGATACTAGCTCACATAACAATTTAAAAGGTCCCCACAGGTCCTTTAAAGGCTGCTTACAAATTCATGTTAAACGGCTGAGAATAAATTTCACTTGTGGGTTACAAAGCATTTACAATGGAAAGAAATCCTTGTATAAATAGGCAGTCCAAACTAGATTCCCTGTACTCTTTTGGCAGCCTTGATAGCACCACTAACACAACTCTCGAAATTCCTGGGTAGCTAGTCTCCAGAGGCCCTAGGAAGGTCATTAGGAGTTGGCCAACCTGAAATTGGTGGGCCTGGAGGAGGGGGAGGCAAACTAGGCGTGGCAGGTAGCCCTAGGGTAATGGGGGAGGGCTGGCAAAATCCTAAGAAGTCCAGATCTGTACCTGATTGTTGGAGGCAGGAGGACTAAGAGTCAGAGGATTTATTTGATTGCAGCCTGGGCAACAGAAGACCTTGTTTCAAACAAACAGTCCCCGGGCTTGGAGGACCTCACTCCTTGACCCGAAAACTCAGTCCCAAACATCTCGGGTCGAAGCTAAAATAACAAGTCTCTAACACAGGCCCTGTTCTTAGTTGCTACCCTCGTCCTTCCTCCACTTCTGCACATCTTTGGCCCCGAGGCAGCAGCTGTGTGGCTAAGTGCCCGGAATTGTGCTTCAGCTGGACTCAAGCCGCTGGAATCCAGCACTTCCTGGTTGGTCCGGGATGTTGGTGCCATCACCATCCCGGTCAGCCCACAGCGCTTATGAGCTCAGGGAGCACCAGAGGAGCTAGCGGGAGCGTACAGATCCACTGCACCCGGGACCGGAGGAGGTGGGGTGGGGTGCATCCTGCAGAGGACGCCCAGGATGTGCAGGAACTTGAGGATGGAGAGGGGCTAGGGCACCAGCAGCTGACCTGGCTCTGCGCTCAGGACAGCGGTCTTCGCTGGCGGCCACAGAGTGCGCCGCCCTGGCTGGCGCAGACTTTGTAGGAATTAAGTCTAGGGGAGGGACTCCAAGGTCCCCAAGGGAACTCCGGGGACGCGGCTGCAGAGATCCGCTCCAAGGGGGGCAAGAGAGGCGGGACGAAGCTGGAGGGCCGTGAACGCCCTGCGGGCTCGGAAGCCCCGCAAGCCTGGCCCCGGCGGCTCCTACCTGCGGGCCTGCGGCTCTGGCACTGTCTCTGCGGCTGCGGCGGCGGCGGCTTCAGGGGGTCCCCGCGCAGCTGGCGCAGCTGGGTCCGCGGGAGGCGGGCGGGCGCTAGGACTCGCCGGCCGGAACTGGCCAGCCGGACTGCAGGGTGGGGCGGGGCGGCGCCGGCCAGCCGGGGTGACCGAACCTCTGCCGCTGGCCTTCCTTCATGCCTGGGCTCTTACACTTTCTTCTCTCCAAGTTTCCTAACTCAGCCGCGGTTATCCGCCGGGCGCGTGCTGGCGTTGTTCTTAACCAAGTTCACTTCCCTAATCTCTGAGCGCGGTCCTTGTCTGTGACATCTGGTCGCCGAGACTGGCGCCCGCGCGTTGCAAGCCAACAGCTAGCCAGCTGGGGAAGTATTCCTGGGCTGAAGTTACCCGGTGGACTAGGGGCTTTGTGGAGGTCAACTGTGGCCTTCTTGCAAATCCCTGGGGAGTGTGTTATTGCCTGTTTATAAGTAAGGAAACTGAGGCTAGAAATAGGGAGTAATAGGCCCCGTCAGCCCAACTAAGATTGCAGAAGACAGTCCCCTCTCTCTGCTTCTCTGTCTTCCCACCCCCACCCTATCCCCGCAGGTACTGTAGTGTGTGTGTGTGTGTGTGTGTGTGTGTGTGTGTGTGTGTGTGTGTGGCGTTTGCTTGGTTGGGTTGGGTTGGGTGTTTTTGTTTGTTTTAGCTAGCTCTCTGCTATATACATGTTTGGCTCTGAAGACCAGATGGAGCTCAAACTATATAATCCTCCTGTCCCAGTCACACACCTCCCTCGCACCCCACATTCCTACTTCTCCCTCCCACTTGCCATCAGTCCTGGGTTTGATCCAGAAATGTTAGAAGGAAAACGAAAAACAAAATGGAAGGAAAACATGAGAAATTCCCATGACACCCATGGAACTGTACAAAAAGCAATTTTGTCATTTTAGTCCACTTAAGGTAGTCGTCATTGAGAGAAAACCAGGGGCCATGTGGTTTGAATAGCAACTCTTTTGGAACAAAATTCTGAATACAAGTCAGTTCCAAATCGGTTGCACAACACCGCTTCCAGCCAAAGCCCAAAGATGCAACAGTGCCTGGACGTCAGACTGCTAATGCCATCGGCCTTCTGAAAGTGTTTACTGACTATTATACAGTAGACAGAGCCGGTTACATAATGTCTTACTATGCCCATGGCAGTGCACGAAATGAAAAATATAATATTTCAGTCCAGACAGAGGAAGAGGTGAAATTACAGTGTGGGGCTCAGTTTTCCTGTAACCTGCAACTGCCCAGCCCTCCCCAGCTGCATTCTTCTCTTTTGAGCACATCTTTCCTAAAGATCGTAGACAGTCCTGCAGCCGTCACTCTTCCCTTGTTGACAGAAATTATTGATGTCTTTTGAATCCTATGATTCTGACAGATTTTTGCAATTATGTGCTCGGCCCTCTGAGGAAACAGGGTATTGCCTAAGAGGGGTTTGGCAAGATTACGACAAGCATGTAACTGAAAGGCTGCATAAGCCTCCTTCCTCCCTTTCTCGGGTTTATTAGTTTCAGATGATTTGATAAGCATATGCCTATGAGAGACTGTGCTCTTACAAGCTTGTCTTTAGATAACGTGAGGTGATTGGTTGAGAAGCACCAGGCTGTAAAATTACATCCCGAGTTCTTAAAAGAAATCATTGAAACATTTGGCATTAACAGATAACAATAGGTCTTTCTGTTAACTGTAACTATAAATAAAACAGAGACTGTACAATGACCAGAATTCTGCCCCCTGAGGTAGAGAAGTGGAAAAAAAAATAGCAAATGTCGCCCCGAGGGAAGTGACGGTAGTGATGGTAGCTAACATAAATTTTAGACATACTAGAATTCCACAGGTCACTATGACTTTCCTCAGAGATTTTGTGATGGTTATTTCTTTTCAGGGGTGTCAAGAAAATTAAAAAAATAAAAGAAAGAAAAGGAAAACACAACCTAAGAAAAGCCTATAACACCAGCACTCAAGAGGAGCCAGCCTAGCCTACATTGTCCAGAAAAGAAAGAAAGAAAGCATTAAGAAATTCTGTCTCATACATTGTGACGTTTAATCTTCATTGTCAATGGGGTTAGATTTAGAATCACCATGGAAGAACACCTTTGGGGTATGTGTGAGGACATTTCCGGGAAGGTCTCCCTGCTGGAAGTGTGGGTGGCAGTATTTTATGCACTGGGGTCCTGATACACAAAGCGATGTGGACAGTCTGCATCTTGCTCTGCTTCCTGACATCAGGGGTGCTGTGACCGGCTGCCCCATGTCTTCCAAGCCATGATGACCTCACACCATGAGCCCGAATGAACTCCTCCTCTTTTCAGCTGCTTCTTGGCCAGTGATAGCAACAAGAGAAGTAACTAATGTATAAATTTATCTCAAACTTGAGATTTTTTTTAATCACACAAGTTTTTCTAAATATTTTTAAATTTTCATCTTTCCTTCTAAGTGTAAAAGTATATAGAGTAATATATCTTTACTCTATAATGTTTGCATTGGTATTCTGCAAAAAAATACAAAGTTTTGAAGTCCCTAGGGTCAATTTTAATGAAAAATAAAACTTTTAAATGTACCAAAAGACTTATTTACAAATCGAGCCTACATCTCAACTCACAGCATATAGAATTGTTTGATAATATAATTGTTTGATAACATAAATTTTTTAAAGATTTATTTATTTATTATGTATACACAAGATCTCATTATGTACCAGATCTCCTTATAGGTGGCTGTGAGCTACCATGTGGTTGCTGGGAATCGAACTCAGGACCTTTGGAAGACCAGCCAGTGCTTTTAATGTCTGAGCCATCTTTCCAGCCCCCAATGATATAAATTTGACTGAATGATTTACTTACAGTATATTCAAGGATGACACTGTCTGCACTAAATAGATACGGATAGAGAATGGGAAGTGTAGAGTCTGTTTTAGGCAATGAGGCCTGTCTTAGGGAGAGTTTTATTGCTGTGAAAAGACACCATGACCATTGCAACTCTTATGAAGAAAAACATTAAACTGGGGCTGGCTTACAGTTCAGAGGTTCAGTCCATTGTCCTCATGGTAGGAAGCATGGCATAGCAGCCCTGGTGCTGTAGCTGAGAGGTCTATATCCAGACCCAAAGGCAGCAAGAAGCGAGAGAGACACTGGGCCTGGCTTGAGTCCCTGACACCTCAAAATCCACCCCTTCGTTGCCTAAGTTAGGCTGTCCTTGAACTCACTCTGCAGACCAGGCTGGTCTTAAACTCTGGGATCCACCTGCCTCTGCCTCCTGAGTATTGGGATTAAAGGTGTGCAGTCCCACACCTGGTGCTAAGCCTTTCTTTTATTCCTTTTCACAAGCTGTGAACTTAGCTGGGTAAGACCCAGCTCAGAGTAAGACCCTTTATAAATAAATAAATATAATAAACTCCCTTTATTCCACTAGCCTCAGGCTTTTCTTTAATCTGTTTATACCTCCTGGTGTCCCTTTTCTTCTCAAACTATACATTTTGTATTTTTTTTCTTGCTCAGCTTGCTCCTTTTCATTATAGGTCTGCATAAGTGTGGCTACTAATGACAACACAGTTAATACTAGGCTCTCTGCCTAACTAGGCTCTGCCAAAACCACTAATCCATAACTCTTTAATTTAGCTGCAGGCAGATTTTTGGACAAAGGAAGAAAGCCTAGGCCACATATTAATATTTTTCTCCTCTGAAACCTCTTGATTCCAACCCACATAGTTCAATTCACCCTCAGGACCACTGTCTTACATGTTTCTACTAGTATGGCCAGTTGAACCCCTCTTAAAGCACTCAAATGATTTCCTAAGCCAAAATCCACATTTCTCCAAACAAAAACACAGCCATATCTTTCACAGCAATACCCCACTCCTGGTACCAATTTCTATCATAGTTAAGGTTTTATTGATGTGAAGAGACATCATGACCACATGGCAGCTCTTATCAAGGAAAACATTTAATTGAGGCTGGCGTCTAATACAGAGGTTTAGTCCAAGCATGGTGGTTTGCAGGCAGACATGGTGCTGGAGAAGGAACCATGAGTTCTACATCTAGATCCAAAGACAGCAGGAAGACAGAGCCACTGGGTCTGGCTTGAGCTTCTGAAAGCTTAAAGCCTACCCCCCAGTGACATACTTTCTCTAACAAGGCTAATCTATTCCAACAAAGTTACAAGTCCTAATCTTTTCAAATAATGCTCCACTCCCATGAGTCTATGGGGGTCCATTTTTATTCACATCACAAGCCCATACCACCTTAGAACAGAGAATGACAGTGTATCCCAGAGCTCTCATTTGGAATTGGACTTGCCTTTGAATTATAAACAGAGGTGTTTGATACGCAGAGACTCAGAGGGTCCAGATTCTGTTGAGAAGTTCATCACTGAGCACAATGTGGTATCACACACCTTGGATCCCAGAAGTCAGGAGGTAGAGGAAGGAGTATCTCTTGAACTCAAGACCAGCCTGGTCTACATAGTGTGTTCCAGGACAAGAAAGGCTATGTAGAGAGATCTGTCTCAAAAAAAGCAAAGAAGAAGAGGAGGAGGTAGTTAATTTTTATAGCTACATTCATGGACAAAAGGAAGCTCTGAGTGATGTGGTTTGCTTTGGCAAAGTTTCTACAAATTCAAAGAGAAAATGTCAGGGGCAGGAGACTGATTCTTTTTGGAGTCAATTTCCAAATATTATTTCTTAATGGAGGCCTAGCCAGACTGAATAAGAAAATTCAAGTAACAGTTCCCCAGAGTCCAAAAACCAACCCCTTATCTTTTCAAAAGACCCTAACACCAAGCATGTCAAATATCCAGGGGAAAGGGGGATGAGAGCTGGTCAAAGGGCAGGAGGTCAGAGGGTACCAGACTGGTTTGGTGTAGACTTCAGGCCACACAGCATAGCCTGCAGGAATACTTTGAGACAGGTACTCTGTGAGGTCACAGGAGAAAGAGGACCTGGTAGACATTCGGCTTCCTCTTCCTGCTAGAAGCTCTCTTCACCTTCAGGTATGGCCCATGAGTAACCCACATCA